TTGCGTTTAAGATTTTCAGGCGCTACCCCCAGGTGTTTGTCAGTGCAGATATGGGGGAGGAGGGTGAGCTCACCCCAGAAACTGAAAGGCAGATGGTGAGGGGTGAGGGGTGACCATGCGCGTCAGCGCTTTGGCTAAAGGACAGAAGAGCAGCGTGCAGGTTTGCACGGGGGGTAGGGAGATGACGGGCGCGAGTAAGGAACAAGCAGGAATCAGGGAAGAACTTCTTTGCACTCCGAACAAGGTTCCTGGATTTGTCAGTCTTGTTCCTAGAGCTCGCGAGCAAGGCAGGGACGTTACATGACATGCGCCTTCCATAATTCCATATCTGAGACTAAACTCAGAACTAAACTCAGAGCCTTCGCGAATGCTGCAGGCAGATGCACCGGCTTCGCGGAAAGCTTCAGTACGGCTGATGACAGGTTAAGGATCTGGTGCGTGACTCCTCCCGGTACAACCTCGCGATCCAACCTCCCCACCATTTCTGAAAGCAGGAAACGCACTCCTTCCTCGCCGACAACCGGAAACGCGCCCCTTCCTCGCCGACAGCCACAGGTTGCGCATGCTCCGAGCTAAGAGGCGGGGCGCGGCTCCCACCGGAAGCATTCTCTCTTAGGAGCCGTATCCTTCCGTGTGAGGCTGGCTAAGGGGTCCTGCGGCCTCTGATTGTGCACCCGGGTGAGTAGCGAGTTCTTGCCGGGCTTCGTGGGACGGGCGCGGGATCCTGCTGAGCTCCTTTAGTGCCCGGCTCGGAACTAGGAAGCCGAGCAGGAAAAGTCACCTCCCCTTCCTCCCACGCCCGACTTCAGTGCCGCCCTCCAACTACCCCCAGCCCTTGGTATCTAGGGGATTAACCTCCAAGGGCGTCCCGGCCCTCGGTTGGCTTCCGGCCCAGCCTAGGCCTTTAGCGCTGCCCTCAAGAGTTATACCATTTCCTACAGGGAATCTCTGCAGGCAATCGGGTTACTGCTTGGGCTTGAGGTCGTCCCAGGCGACATCAAAATCAGAATCCTCTGCAAAGGCGGCCAGAATGAACTGAGTCTGATGGTCGCACAGGTACCGCAACCACCAAGTGCAAAAGCGGAGGTGGTTCTTCGTGCCTGGGCACACTTTTGCAGAGGTTTGTGATGTTAATTATAACCTGTCCTTTTATGTGAGGATTGGCAGTCTTTCATTGTCATAGGCTATATATATAGGACCTTGATGTCTGCGAAATCGTAAAACACTGTAGTGATTCGGGAAAGAAAAACTATTGTATGGTGTTATACTCTTGGTCTTTAACCTGTTAATAAATTGTTCATTGACGAGGTAGTACGATTTCAAAGTTTTCTACCTTGGAGTGGAGAACTTTTTAAAATAGAACTATCTGGCATCATATAACTAACAACTCAGAATTACAATTTTGCGGTATTTCTTAGCTGTACACAGCACCACCTATGTTTACGTACATAAATGTGTGTTCATTTTGTTGATTCTGTTGTTTATACAAGATTGAAATACACTCGCTCCTGTTAAATGCGCATGCAGCTATTATCGTATATTCTGCTGTAATGGTATTGTTACTGTAATGGCCTTGCATTGCAGGTATATCAGTGTCATATGAATGATAGATGAGTGTACAATAAAGTATATACAGTTACAAATTTCACTTAGAAGTTTCAATTTCATTTCGGGATTTTAAGGTCATTTTAGAAGATGGACTACTGTTTTAAAAGTAGCCATAGGTCTAGAACACTGGGTTACCACTAATAATTTAAGTATAGGAAAATATATAAACAGGTTTTGTGTCTTCATATTTTTTATAGGATTAAAATTGATAACTGGAATGTACTTATTATGTACCTTGGTTCATGTAGTTCAGGGAACATCCAGTAGATGGCAGTTTTATCTCTACTAACCCAAACTTTAAATAAATGAAAATGTTTTATTCGAAGAGCCCTAATTTTCACAGATTAAGTTAATAAAACTCTTATTTTGCTCCTGGTTTATTTTCATCAGTAAATACTGTCTCCACATAATACCACATATTCCAACTGCATTTTCAAATTTACTCTTGGAATAAAGACTAGAGAAGTCAAACTCACATCCTGTAAGAAGTGGAATATTGTTAACCCATTTTTAGGAATCCAGGCTGATGGGAAAAAGCACACTTTGACTTGTTACATGAGGAGAGATTTTAATTAGGTAGTGTCTCCTCCCTAGCTCCATTTAAAAATACATAATTAATATAATTGGACTGTGCATTCCTTGAGTGAAGTAATTGTATCTTAGCCATTATTGTATACCCACTATATAATCAGCATTATATATACATGTTTAATAAGTGCTTTATTGTGTGAATTAAGTCACTTAATATTCCTAGGTCAAAGTTTCTCTACCTGAAATGAAGGCTTTCAATTATTTAGTTAAGTTTAAATTAAATAATGTTCTATTGCGAAGTAAGTGGCTTCTAGTAATAGAGAAATAAAGTCAATGGAACCCTTGACTTTTCTTTGGAAATTGTTCAAAAGTCTGGCTGCAGTTCTGCAGGAATGATTGAATGGGAGGTTTTTCTGCAGTTGCAGTTTATCTGTTGATCAAATAATTACTGAATAGCTTCTCTTTTGTATGTGACAGTTATAAAAATGTATAAGATATAAATAAGGATTTAAACTCTAGTTGAATAGAATAGATATCACATAAATTTACTAATAGGGCCAAATAAAAAAATATAGAAGATCAGTGTGACCTGAAAGCCTTCAGTGGAGCATGTGAAGTTTTTGAAGTTTGGATAGAATTTGACTAAACCTAGATGAATGGGGAGAAATGGCCCATCCAGGATACCAGGCACATTTGCTGGAGGAAAAAATACATGTGACATTTTCAGATTCTACTGACTCGAGCTATTGAGAGTTTTTATTGAGAAGTGTTGAGAAGTAAAATGCTTAAAAGTCATTCTTTGGGGCTAGATTAGGATAGTCGAATGGTTGGGAATCCTGTGAATAAAGGGAAAGATTTGGGGTCTTTTTATTAGGGAGAAGTATATACTCTTGAGTGGAGGGGAGGTATCGAAAAGGAATTTAAAAATTGTTGGAGCTATTCCTGAGGGAGGGAAGGTAAGAGGATCTTTGAGTAGTAGTAAAAAGAAATAATAATTTTAGAGCTGGAATGACCATAGATATTAATCTATGCAGTACCTAAATTTTACCTTTTGCTGAGCCATCTGTATAAATTCTTATTTATGAGTGAAACATATATATTCTTTTTTCCCCCATGTAATTCAGCATAGTTCTGTGCTATAGAAGTATAAAAGTATTATTAGAAGCTGAGATCCTATCTCCCAAAATGTGACAGTCTTATCATCCCCAACAAACATATTCTTCTGGATAGTCATTACCTTTGATGGGGGTGTGCATACTTCCTATAAGCCTAACTGTGATTAATGTAGCTGCTCAGGGATATATCTAAAAGTAGACACATTGCCTTCTTTTCCCTCTCCATCTGGGTGCAGGCTGTATTCTTGTGGTTCAACAATTTTTGAAGATTCTGTTGCTTCAGATTTATCTGGGTTGTTGGAAACAATAGTATGGCTCAAAACATTTAATGTCACTTGTTAAGAAAATGGCATGTTTAAGTTTAAACAGGCCTCAAAAACCTTTAAAAATACATTTGAGGAAAAAGCGACAGTTCACAGTCTGAATTTCACTTAAAATTACCTGGTTTACATTACGCTTAATGGAAGAAATTCTTACCATCACATAAGTAAAGTATTTCATTATTGGGCTGCCTTTCTATGGATTAGTGATATAGTGATTTTTCTAGACTCTGAAATAGTTATTTTAAAACTCTTTGAAGAGTAAATATCTTAAAAAGTTTATTGTATTTTTCAAATAGAATTATTCTCTACTTAAATGAGCTTTTTAAGAAAGTTTATTAAAAATTCTAATAAATCTCAATGTCTAATCTGTTCTTTCAGCTTCCAAGGGGAGCTTAAAATGTGTTTACTTAACATTTAAAAAGCCATTCCTCCTTAAACACTTTTTTAAGGTGGGTAATGTCGATTTTGACCAGAAGTTAGTTTTTGTTGCTCAATTTAAGGTCACTTTAAATGAATCTAGTTATTACCTAGTGACATTTCTGTTTGTTTTTTAAGGTTAACAGTCAAGATGGTACATGCTGAAGCCTTTTCTCGTCCCTTGAGTCGGAATGAAGTTGTTGGTTTAATTTTCCGTTTGACAATATTTGGTGCAGTAACATACTTTACAATCAAATGGATGGTAGATGCAATTGATCCAACCAGAAAGCAAAAAGTAGAAGCTCAGAAACAGGTATGATTAAAATGTTTGAAGATCATTTTTCTTGTAGCTAGCAAACATTTTCCCATAAGACGAAGGATATAATAGAATGATAAGTTAGTGAGCAGTTCTGTAAGACCCACATGAAAATGTTTTTCTGTCATATTTAATTTCACTTTTCCTAAAAAATATTTGTTTCTCAAGTCCTTTTGAATGTTTAAGCAACTTAGAAGAAAAAATGATGAATAAAATTATTATAGTATTTTGTTGTGAACATCCTCATTAGACTTTGTCAGCTTATAAATGAAGGAATCTAGGTAAAATTTTTCAACAGATTAAACAAAATTTGTCTTCAGTAATATACATTTTGCTTTGTTTGACATTTGAAATGTAGATAATACTGACAAGCTGTCAGTCTTAGAAACGCCACTAATTTCTAATTAAAGGATTGCTAAAAAATTTTACTGTTAATATAAATTGTAGTTTTATTTTTTCAGCTACTGCCTCTTGTGGTCATTTCCTTATTAGGCTAATATATTTATTTTGGTTCCTGTTCTTCAAAAACAAAAGTCTTCAAGGAGTCTTTCAAATTTTTCTTACTGTTTCAGGGCGAGGTATTTATATTCATGGATTTTCTGTGAGTTGTGACTCTGATGCATTCGGTAAACATTTATTGAACTCTTAACAAATGTTTTGTGCAAAGAATAAAAGATGAATAAATCTTATTCTTTCAAATGCTATAGGCCAGTATGAGAAATTGGGATGTAAAGAAATGACTGCTTTACAGTGCTCTGCATAGCTCTTAAAATCAGTGAAAACCACGGTTTCATAAATACTGCTTACTCTATATACCTGAAAAGCAATTTGGACAGCTGTTCCCTGATTTTCATTATAATGGACTCAAGGTCTAGATTATATCATTATATCAGGCAATTCATAACTCTCTAAAAAGTTCGACTAGTGTAGTATTTTTAAAAAATGAATTTGAGTGTATCCATGTGCCAAAGTGCAACATTAAGTTAAAAGTTAAAATATTGATGTTCAGTTATTTAAAAAAAAAATTTTTTAAGTAGATGTATGACTTTTAGACAGAATTTTGTCATTTACTTTCTTGGCTTCTAGGAGCACCTGGAACTCAGATATGAAAGCCATGTAGAAAGCCTAATATAGATATTTAAGTAATACATGAATGGATTGTTATCATTAAGCCTTGAAAACAGTGTGGACAGTATTGTTCAAAATATCAGTTATGTGAAATATTAGACACCACATCTGTCCTCATAGTACCTGTGGTAGAGAGAATAGAACTTGTCCACGATAATATAAATTATAATTGTAGGTAGTTTATCCTAATTGCCTGATTAATAGTGTAGGCAGAAACTGTGGCATTTAGAGAAGGCATTCACTGATGATTGAGGTAGGTGAAGATGACTTCATGAAAAATCTTGGCCTCTGGAATAGGCAGGGACAATTTTAAGTAGAAAGAAAATCGTGAATAGAATCATGATAGGTATAGGAATAACAAGAGCTGTTAAAGGAGCAGTAAATAGACTAGTCAGGTTGGAGTAGAGGATTTATGCAACTAATTAGTAGAACTTGGAGGGAGAAGTAAGGGTCTTTTAAGGGACCCTGAGTAGTCAGTGACAGGGCTTTTCTTTTTTCTTTGTCCTCTTAATGGTTTGGTGAGTGGGCAGAGGCTGATAAGTACCACAGCATTTGAGAAGTTCATCAGCTAAGAAGGAGGCAGGCTTTTGATTGGCCAGGGGCTATAGCTTCTTAGTTACCCTTCTGCTTTTCTTGCCTCACCTCCTTGGCCAACTATTGAAATATGCTTTTGACCAGTTAAAGTCTTCTGTATGAGCCATTAAAGATTTTTGAGTGGGCATATGATATGCAAAGCAACGTTTTAAGGATAATTCACCTTACAATAGTAGGTAGCAGGAATTGGAATTATGGAAACTAGAAGCAAGATCTTTTTTGTAGACTGCAATAGTCCTGGCAAAGATCTAGATAGAGTAAAGGAATGAAATCGGTAAAATAGAGGAATAAGGACTTCGTGATGATCCTAGAAAAGGAAAAGGACATCTTACAAATGAATCCAAGGTTTGTCTGGAGTCTTCAAAGACGCATAGTATCTTTATAGAGGTTTAGAAACTGGTACATAGGGCAAGTTTATGGGAAGATGACATTTGATTTGGGCATCTTACCCAATAACTTTTAGAATACATATGAGAAAATCAAAAGAAAGAAATGTGATTGCACTAACCCTAAAATAGACGACCATATCTGCATATCTAGAAAAGGATATTTTCTAGAATTTTAACATATGTTTGTGATTAAGGGCTTATACCTCATATATAAAGATAATTACTCCAATTCTTTGCTATTTTCTATTTAAATGCATTTTTAAAGCTTTCTATCAGTGATTTTCTCTACTGGAAATTGGAGTATGTTAGCTGTGAACTCAGTAAAAGATTTTTAACCTATGTTTAAATAGGTTATCTCTGTTTATTTTGATGTTAACTTGTTAATGCCATCTCTCACTTTCTAAAATTATTCTTCCAAAAGAATAATCAATCATATAACTTTTAGAACTTGAATGAAATGAGTCTTTCTTTTCTCTTGCTCTCTTCCTTTATTTCTTCCTTCCCTAGTGAAGGCAAAAATATTAGTTTACAATTTTTTACCCCACTTAATTTTTAAAATTATACTTCACATGGAGAAAAAATGAAATAGCATGAAAGGATAAAACAATACTGCGAACAGTTAAAAGGACAGATATACAGTAAATGTACGTTTTCCTCCCACCTCTGACTCCTCTCACTCCCAGACCACCATTTTCCCCTCCGTGGAAACAGTTATTTGAAGAGATCCACTTTAAATGACAAGCAGATGTTGGTGACTAGAAAATATAATCGTTGTTAAGCTGTAAACCGAACACAAAATACATGAATATAAGTCATTTTTAGAGTAGTCCAATTATAATTTTATTTTTCTAGTTAAAATATTTTGGAAATAGGGACTCGGTTAAAAGTGTCAAAACTAGACAATTGGATAACTTATTCTTGGAATGTAGTTTGGTGGCAGTATGGTATTTTGGGGTGCTTTCTTTTCATTTGTTTGTGAAACCGTGTTCTGCTCTCCTAAATGAGGAATGTGTTCAAAGTTCAGTAGAATATGAACTTTGAAATGACACAAATCAGGGTTTGAACTCTGGTAATGCCAATTTCTAGCTGTGTAATCTTGGCTGTTTTTCTGATTTCTTTGATCTTTGAGTTCCTCATCTGAGAAATGAGAATAGTAATAGCTACTTCTTAGTATGGTTTAAAGGATTGATTGTAAAGTACCCAGCATAGTGCCCAGCATGTGGTAGATGCTCAACAAACATTAATTTCTTTTCTCTCTTCTGTCAATGCTATTAATGCAACCTGAAGACATTGTTAAAGGGACTGCTGTTGTGGGAAAAAGATTCTAGGTAAACTTAACTATAACATTTCCGTCTCTATAAATTATACAACATAGTTGGTAATTTTTTTTTTAGGAAGCTCCAGTTGTAGATAAAGATTGTTATTATTTAAAGCAAGAGACGATTTTGGCCTAGATTAAAATTTTAAGCGGGGAGGAAGCAGAGTTTCACAACTCAGCACTAATGACATTTGGAGCCAGATTATTGGAGGGGGGAGGGATAGGATTGGGGACAGGTTATCCTGTGCCTTGTAGAATGTTTAGCAGCATCACTATCTCTGCTGACTAGATACCAGTAGCACCCTTCCCCTCACCCAAGTGGTGACAACCAAAAATATTTCCATACTTTGCTAAATGTTCCCTGGGGACCAAAATCACTGACCCGCCCCCGCTCCGCCCCCTGGTTGAGAACAACTGTTTTAGAGCATGGCCTAAAAAGAACGCAGGTGGGATGACTTCATGTTTATAGAAGCATAATGAAAAAGCAGAGTTAAATTAATGTTATTACAGATAGTAAAATAGGATTCCTTTCATAGCTGGCACATAAAAGATTTAAAGTCAGTGAAAGATGATATTTATAAGAAAGAGATGAAAGGACCTGGGAAAGGCAACTTTATCCATTGACTCAGTAATTTTACAAGGGGGTGGCTAAATAGGAAAAAAGGATGTGGTTCATAGCACTTTTTAAAAAATGCTGTATTACTACAGTATGATCAACACACATTTATCCTACTCCGTCAGCCAGTCTCTAACTATAATGGTGTGATGTGAATTTCCTTTTAGAACAGCAAAGCCCTTGACAGACGGCAAGATTTTATATAAAAATATTTTAGGAAAATGTAACAACAAAAATTTAGGTAAACATGATTTACCAGAGTACCTTCCCTTCTAAAAATATTCACTTAATTAAAATTCAAATATGTTATCTATAGATTTTAAAGACTCTTTAGTGGTCAAGAACTCCCATCTTATAATCGGGGAAACCTAGATAACGTGTGTGGTGGTTAGGATATGGGTTCTAGAGCTAGACTGCTTGGAAGGCAAATTACTTAATCCGAAGTAAGCTTCAGACTCTTTTTTTCCATGATAAAATTGTACTTACCTCATAGGATCACTCTAAAGATTCAGGGAGTTAATCCATTTACAGTATTTTGGCATAATATTTGGCACACTTAGTAAATATATATCATCATTTTTATTTTAATTGAAAGCTTCGTTGCATTGTTAAGAGCTCATGATTTAAAGGCTAGTTTTGCCCAGCTCTAAAAAATATATGCAGTATACTTCTAATTTAGAATTATTTTTATTATATCTGGTTTCCTAGCCCTGGGACTTGACTTTGACTTTAAAAGGGACGGCATTTCAGAATAATTTGAAATTAGATAGATAAGAACACCTATTGTAGATACCAGAATAATTTGAAAAAAAGTTAGGCAACTATTTTCAGATACTCTGTTAATTTAAGGAAAGAAATTCCACTTGTGCATTTCTTCATATCCGTAACCTCCTCGGTCTTCATCTTGAGTTTTCACCTGCACCTATCATGATCATCCTACTTGGAAAGAGAAGTCAAGTTGGACCCTAGAGTCTCACTGGGTCAATGTGAAGCCCTATATCTATATATCTTCAATCATGTACCCTGTTTTCTCACTTCTCATTTCTTGTGAGTTGGTTTAAATCACCCTGGTTTTTGTGGAATAGACCCTCAAATTTTTTTTTTTTTTACTTAAGGGCTTACAGTGGGGAAAGATGAGAGCAAAGGGTCTAGAATATCCCTGGAAAATTCTTATGTCTATTCATTGCTTTTTTAGATTTCACAGATACCTGTTTTGAACTGACAGTATCTAAATCTCAAACTAAAGGAGGTTGCTTGTTTTTTTTCTTTCTAGGCAGAGAAATTAATGAAGCAAATTGGTGTGAAAAATGTAAAGCTTTCAGAATATGAAATGAGTATTGCTGCTCATCTCGTAGACCCTCTTAACATGCACGTATGTATCATTAAACTTATTTAAGAGTTTTTTTTCTTGTTTAGCATTTCGTTCCAAGGTTCCCGAAGACCACAACCAGGTTTGATGATTCTCTAGGAGGAGACACAAGATTCAGCATAGTAGTTAATACTCATGGTTGTGATTTATTACAGCAAAAAGGATACATACAAGGCAAAATCAACAAGGAAAGAGGGTCATGGGTTGAAGTCTGGAGGAGATCAGGCACAAGCTTCCAAGAGTCTTCTCCCAGTGAGGTCATGGATGTACTTGATTCCTCCAGAAACAAATTAGGAAGACACATGTAAATGCTCTCCACCATGGAAGCTTATTAGAGACTCTGTGCCCAGGATTTCAGTTGGTCCTGGTCATGTAGGCTTTGCCTTCCTAACATCTACCAAAATTATAGACTCTAGAAGGAAAACGGGTATCCACCTCAGACCATATTGTTTGCACAAACGATTTAAGCACAGCAACCTGTTCTTATCAGAGAATGGTGGGAATGCTCCTGAAATCTAAGTTCTCGTACTCTAGCCAGGGGCCAGTGTCGTAAGCAGGCCTTTCTAAGGATAATAGTCTCAGGCCTGCTATGTTAACTTATTTTTATGCACGTTTGTTTAGTTAAACTTGTACTTTTATGTATTTACCTTTGTGGCATATAAAATGTACTTCTTTAAGTCTTGTGGATATTTGATTTGGAGTTTAAATCTAGATTTTCACGATAGGGTATGATAGATAATGCAAGATTCCGAATCCCAGTTTTTCCATTCATGGCTTTGGCAAATTATTTCCTCTTTGAGTCTTAGTTCCCTGATGTATAGGACAGTGTCCTACAGCAAGTAGGACAATGTCATACTTGCTCTACCTACTTAAAAAGGGTTATTTTGAGGACCAGATTAATGTAATTTATAAACTCTAAAATCCCTTGTGAATATTTCTAACAACAGGTATTAATAAATTAATAGAATGAAATATGATATCTCTATCCACAGATCTAGAAAATAAAAATCTATAATGTCTTTTAGTATCTGTGTGCAAAGTGACACACATACCCCCCAGAATCCATCCTCTGTTTGAATTTGGTTTATAAATTTAAAGTGATACTTTTTGAGACCTTACTCATTCACTTCTGAGTAAAATTGTACTGATAGACTCAGCTTTTTGTTATAACTATAGTGAAAGTAGGTGATGATTTTTTTTAGATCCGGCTGTGGTTTTTGGTTTTTCACCGTTTTTTAAAAGTTGTTAAGAAAGTAAATCTGTTGTAAATATTGCTTTTTTTTTTTTATACTAGACAGCTGACTATTTTTTTTATAGTGTCATAGTAGTTTAAGAATTTCATTATTGCTATGAAAATTCTTTACTTACATTAACATAATTTTAATCTTTTATTATCTATGATATAATGATCAGATAAGATTTGTCATTTTGGGGACTTTTTTATTGCAGTGAGTATACATCAGTTGTAAAATTCATGTTGACCTTACCTTTCACCAGGTTACTTGGAGTGATATAGCAGGTTTAGATGATGTCATTACAGATCTGAAAGACACAGTCATTTTACCAATCAAAAAGAAGCATCTGTTTGAAAATTCCAGGCTTCTGCAGCCTCCAAAAGGTATGCCAAAAGTTTATATTTGCTACAGCATTAAAAATCTTGGAAACATTGAAACCTTCTATCGTAAAACAGGTGTTTTTGAAGTTGGATTTTCAAGAGAATGCTGAGATTAGTAAATTGTCTTATAAATAATAGTTTTAAAATAATTGCTCATTCTTCATCTTTCCCAATTTAGAAAATTTTCCCCTATGGTTTCCCACTGCTAAATAATTCCTTTATTTCAAATTCATTTATTTACTTCCAAGTAAAAGATAATTTCAGAAATCAAAGTTAAAAAAAAAATCCAAAATCACAATACAGATTTTTTGTTTTCGAGATAAGACTTCTTTTTGTTTTTTCACAGTTCTAATGATTTTTTTCCTCTTAATTATTTTCACTTTACTTTTAGTGCATTGATTTTTTTCTTTTCTTTTTTTTTTTTTTACAGGAAATACTGAATTACAGGTGAAGTAGAAATTAAATAATACTTATTTTTAAGAGAACCTTTTTCTAATTCCTATTCAGTAATCACTTTGAAAGCCTTGGAACTCAAGAATTGAAAATGCTTATAACTGCATTCTTAAATGTAATACTTTTATTCCTGTTCATTCAAATATTAATCATGTTCAAGGCTTATTAAAGGTGTTTCAACTAGACAAGTTTGATTTATGTTGCTAGTCAAGACTGAAATTATTAGGCACATGCATTTTTAAAAAATAGGATATTTAGAAATATCAGAATAACATTATGTACAAATTGTACTTGCTTGTAATCTTACTAATTTTGCATTAAAGTACATTAATTTATGTTTAAAAGGTAATTAAAGCTGGCACCTGTACATTTTTATGAACTAATTTTTGTTTCTGGTAAATAGAGGATAATAGTTATCACCAAAAATGTCATGTTCTTTTCATTAACTAAAACAACACAGCTGATTATTATGTATTTATTTTTGTTTTCTGAAACAATAAAGCTGCTTTTTTTGGTCTAACCAAAAAGTTAGTTTATTGATTTTTTAATTATTTTTTTTCCCCAAAGAAAATTTCGAATGATTTATTTCAGCCTAGATCAAAGGAGAAAGGTATTAACTTACCCAGTTCCACAATACTTGTAAATTTAGGAAAGTAAAATATTTTTTTCGTATGCTATAGGGAAAGCCCCTTTTTTCATCAGCAATGTCTTAGTCTAGGTAGTTGGGTGACTTTACCAGTTGTACTTGATTTAAAGCCCCAATTAGCACAGCAGATACCAAATTGTGAGAGGATACTTCTATAGTTATGTATAAATCTGCCATTAATTTGAAAATGTTATCCAAAACTAGAGGTGGTTCTTATGTGTATTTTAAATTTTAAGTTATATGAGTATCTCCTGATTATTACTATTTGAGCTTTTTCAGCTTTGCATTTTTGGAAAATTTTTTTATCAAGAACAAAAGTTTGAAAAATCATTGGGTTTTCTTTTTGACCTACATATAAATCAAATATTAGTGTACAGAAGTAGAGTATAAAATCAATTGCATACCACATTTTTTTCATTTTTGGACTGGAAGTAGGTTACGTAGGTTAGAGTCATTGCTTTATTTCCAGTTTTGTTATCCTTAGACAGTTCATTTCTGTCTAAGCTGAAAGCGATCACTGTTTCTCAGACTACAAAACAATAATTTGAGAATGACATTGTTATGTATTATCCTTGCAGCATGTGAAATCATATTAATAAGGTGATATAAAGATATAAAATTGGAGCGATCGTGCCACTAATTAGTTGTAAGAACATGCCATAAAATATTGTTATATTTAAAAAGTAACCCTTATCTCCCCAAAACATTAAAAAATTTCTAACAGTTAAAATTCCATTTGAATACTATATGTCTGTAAACTCTGAATTTTGTAATCATTATTTCGATACATAAGTTTTACATTTGTGAATTTCATCATATTTCTTGTTTTGATGCAGTCTTAAAAGTGTAAATAACCTAAAATAAATATTTTGAAAAATTAATTTTTCTGAGGCCATAAGGCCTGCATCCCCCCTTCTTGAGCACTTACTACTAAGTAGATTTAATTTTTACAGATATTTATTTTTCCACCATTTGGACAAATTTTTTTATTAAAGCTTGAAAGTCAATAAACTGGTCAAAAAAGAACGAAAAGTTAATTACTAATGAGGTAATATAGTTCTCACTAATGAGGACTATCTCCAATTTGGATCTATTTGTCCCAATACTTCTTTTCTTCCTCATCGTCCATGTTTTATTTGCATGAAATACTTAGGAAGTAAAGCCCTTACCAAAATCATCTATCTTAAAAAGGGGTTTGAATTTTTAAGCCTCTACAAAGGACAAAATAATAACCACATTTTTATTTTGTTGAATAATTATAAAAGTGTCAGACTAAGCTCAAAAAACTAGTTAAAAGATTGCAAAACTAATAATTACAGCCAAATGTCTCACATACACTTGCAGAACCTACCGTTTATCACCCTTCATAAATATAAACACTGTGTAGTCCACTTCAATAAACAATATAGAAAAGGTGCCACTTTCAAACAATAATATTGTATTCAGACTCACTGAATACACATCAGATCAGATGAGACGCCATGAATCTTAGTGAAACTTAGCATACATAGAGAAATGAGGATAAAACAGTTGAATGAGTAAATTATAAAGCTAACACTCATGTAACTACCACCCAGTCAAAAAGTGACTACTGACTGCTCTTCATGTACACCTTATCTATCACAGCTAGAAGATCGTAAACTCCAAAAGCTTTCATTGCATGTCGAATCTTTAGACATTAGTAAATAACTGCTCGATTAATAACACTAATTATAATCCCTGAATAGAAACAATTGGAAAAACTTAATCCTGCTAAGAAGTACCAAAACTAAACTATTAGGAATAAGATATTCAAAGCGGTAAATAAATACTTTGAAACAAATATGACATTCTGAGAGTACTGCATAAGTTTATGAAGTGATGGTGTAAATACAGTATATGTATTTACTGCAGGATCAACCAAATATGAGGACTTTTGCATTAATAGTTCTAAAAACCCTGAGATTCAAGTAATATGCAAATAAAAGTTTGTTAGTAGATCTGAATTCCATATGAAGTTCTACAATCAGTATGATAACTAATAATAATTCCCAGTTTCTGCAGTCATTCCACATGTTTTCAGCTTTATTTGAATTAAATGGCATTAGACTACTCTGTATTGTTCATGAGACTTATAAAGTCAGTAGAGGCTTCAAATGATAACTGACTTAGTGAAGTTTTTAGCACCTAAATGAACTTAAATTAAAATTGCAAAGACTGCTTGAAAATATTAACACTTATTGGTAAAGTTTATGGATTTAAATTTTACAATCAGCTTTAAAAATGTTTGGTATAAAATGATTAAACTTGAGTTAGTTGAATCTTAAAGAATTCTTAAGATCACTAGAAAAATCTTTGTTTTTGAGGAAAAATTTGAACATTATGTGAAGTTCTGTATGTGGAAAAAAAAATTGTTAGGTTTATGGAATCAAGCTCCAGTTTATAACTTTTTTAAAAAATGAAAATTGGGGGCTTTTATATAAAATATTCATTCTTCCTCCATTATGTTTTATATTTTATTTTTACTACATATTTTGGATACTCCAAATCCTTTTCGTTTTACTTCAGCATGCTGTCTATAAGTATTGTCATTCTTTAAGTTCCATTGTGTGAAAAAAGTTGAGAAGCTGAATTAAGCAAATATTAAAAGAAGTCTGAAATTTATAGTTTTTGTCGGGCTTGTCTGTAGATGATTTATAGGCTACCATAAATTTACCATAATTTTAGTGTTATATTAGGTTAAAAAATGTTATCATTTTAGTTGAAAAACAGTTGGTGATGATTCCCAAAATGCACAAGATCCCAACCTGTTTAGATCCTTTCTGTATAAAAGAAGTACCTAAAGTTGTATTTAGAGCAAACTGCTATCAATGGAGACTATGGGTTAATAATAGTTTTATTTCTTGGAGATTAAAATGGGACTGACTGGTCATTTCTATTCCTTTTAAAAAGAGATCATGGTTTGTTTGGAAAAAGGCACATGTCCTTTTTGCTAAAACTTAAGGCTCTGAGCAACAGCAAAATAGTGTTTGCTACATTCTGTTTTGAAGTTGTTGATTTTCTCTGGACTGTTCTTCAGCAAGCTAAAGTGTTCTGTTAGCTCGTGAAGGTGGAGCATATTAAATGATTTTATTTGTCAAGCATTTGATCGAATGTTGTGAGTTTGGATGTCAAGATGATTGCCTTTAAAATCCTGAACTGGACCTTTTCATGAAGGGAGGAGCCACAGGGTGCTATAATCCCAAAAGCATGTCATCACTGACACAGAATGTAGACCATGGCTTCTTCCTTTTCTACTATTAAAAAAGATTAATAAAAACAAGCAAACATTGGGGAAAGTTTTAGTGTGGTCAGAATTAGTATTATGTTGATTATCATGTAAACTAAAGCAAATATCTTGTTCTCTTAAAGGAAATAATAAAATAACATGTCAATTTCCAGGTGTTCTTCTCTATGGACCTCCAGGCTGTGGTAAAACATTGATTGCCAAGGCTACAGCCAAAGAAGCAGGCTGTCGATTTATTAACCTTCAGCCTTCAACACTGACAGATAAGTGGTATGGAGAATCTCAGAAATTAGCTGCTGCTGTTTTTTCCCTTGCCATAAAGCTACAGCCTTCCATCATCTTTATAGATGAAATAGGTATGCTGTGTTTTTTGTGGGAGCATTTTAAAGTGCCATTTTTAAGTGTGTTATTTAGATGACCAAATTGAGTTTTAACATTTTCGAGGCCAAATTAATAAAACAAAAGAGATAACCAACATCCTTACATGCTATGTATACTTTCTCTGTTGCAGAACTAGTTTGTTCATTATCCTACTTGATAGTTTTTGCTGTGTTTTCCTTCAAAGTGTTTATATTTGTTTTCACTCTCATTAGTGTGT